AGTGGAGTTTCGGGTGACGAGCCATCCAGATAACGAGGAAGCCACTAGCAGATTTTTTTGATCGACATCTTCCAGTCAGTTAACAAGCTGTCAGTGCGTGTGTGTGCCCGTGCCTGCCGTTGCGTCTTGCTCTTAGGTCGTGGATCCTCGGTCGCCTGCGGCAAATCAGTGAACTGATGCAGTTTGATTGGCTACGTTTCGCAAGAGGAGTGTTTTACATGACAATTTTGGTGCCGGAACTGATTAAACTCATTAACCGAGATTCCACTACACTTTTATTGGACCCCAAACGTCCTTTGTTCATGTTGTTATGGTTCTTAACCGTAATTCGGCCGAGTTTGGTCGTTCTTGACACCGGAAGAGGTCCGCAATTATCTTATTGAGTGACTCTTCGAAACAATTACTAAACGAATCGTTTTGTTCCGATAACGTATAATTTCGTTGTCTTTGGAATTTCTCTGCCAGGGTTCAGTCTCTTATTAAACTGCTATTATTTGGAATTATGTCATCGTTCCTCTGTTTTTACACGTAAGGTTTATGTCTTAGCAAAGTGAAGCCACTATGGGTAAGGAATGTTTATCAATACGGACATTTTGTTGATCACGATACGAGGGCGTAACTGCACACATAAGATCTTAAAGGACCGTATCACGTGATGTTGAACCCAAAACGGTTTTCCATATCACCTTTAACTCCTAAAATCACATCGACGTTAATGCGGCCCTCCACATGATCACTGCATAATAATTCCTGGGTAATCATAAGTCTTCGTTTATTTTGCCCTTACTGCAACCTCACGCCTATAACTAAGTGCTCTCTTTGTTTGAAATCTTCCAATGAGCCCTTTTCACTGTCTTTCTTCAAATAAATTTGTCATCTCATGTTTGCCTTTTAGTCCGCCTGGGTTGCAAGCATCCTGACCCCATTGTCGAGTCCAGCACACTTTCGAGTGTATCATCCCCTGATGTGCACTATACCGTGCACCTGCCACAAGAAGTCATTGATCAAGGCTTGCTCTCGTCTCTTCAGTTGGAGGCTGTAGTCTACGCATCACAGCGGCACCAATGCATTCTCCCCAACGGGCAGAGGG